ACACTGACGCAAGGCCGGGCGACAGGACCTTATATACCTGGCGTCCCTTGAGCGAGGCCTTGCCCGCGGCGACGAGAGACACCCCAGCCACACCCAACGAAGCTCCCACGATTCCAGGGGATGGGGGCGTCCTCCTCAGCCTCCTCCTCGTTTTCTTATTGGTATTGCCTCTTCTTCTTCTTCTTCCTCTTCTTCTTTTTGACTCTACCTTTCTCCTTTTCTTCGTCTTTCTCTGACCCCTTCTCCTCCTCGGCCTCCTCCTCGTCTTATTCTTGCTGGTATTGCCTCTTCTTCCTCTTCTTCTTCTTCTTCTTCTTTTTCTTCTTTTTGATCCCACCTTCCTCTTCCCCCTCTTCTTCTTTCTCTTCGTCTTTCTCTGACCCCCTCCTCCTCCTCTTCCTCCTCATCCTTTTCTTCTTCTTCCCAACCCCACTCCTCCACACCCTCCTCCTCCTATTCTTCCTTGCCTTTCTATTCTTCTTTATATTCCGGTCTATGCTTTTATTCATATATAAATATATATATATATATAATTGTTATTATTTCTTCGTATCGTTTGTCTCCTCCTCCTTCACGTCTTCTTATTCTCCTTCCTTTTTAATCAAAACCTTTCTTTTCCTTCCTCCTTGTCTTCTTCTGTATCTCCCTTTTCTTCCCCATTTTTGGTCTATGCCTTGTTTTTCTCTTCTTCTTTCTCCCATTAGTCTTATCCCCCTTTGATTTTTGTTTTCTTTGCTTCATTCACCTTCCTCTTCTTCATCATCTCCTCCTCCTCCTTTTCCTTCTTCTTCTTCTCCTTCTTCCACTCCCTTCTTTTTCGTTCTTCGTCCTATTGCATTTCCAATTTCGCTTTTTCGTATTCTCATCTTTCTTGTCCTGCGTCTAATTCTTCTTCTTCCTCCTCCTCCTTTTCTTCTTCTTCTTCTTTTTCTTCTTCTTCTTCTTCTTCTTCTTCTTCTTCTTCTCCTCTTCTTCTTCCACCAAATCCTCTTCCTCCTCTTCCTCATCATCATCTTCTTCCTCTTCTGCTATCTCCTCCTCTACCTCCTCCTCCTCGTCCTTCTCCTCCTCCTCCTACCTCCTCCATCTCCTTCTCCCCCTCCTACTCCACCATTTTTATCTTCTTTAATCTGTCCCTCCTTCTCTCCTTCTTCTGCGTCTTTATTCTGGTCTATTTCGGGCTCTCCTTTTCTCCACCTCCGCTATCTTATCGCTTCGTTTGATTTGCTCTAACTCTAAATCTATTTCATTTCTATTTCATCTTCCTCCGTTCCCTCTTTCTAAAAAAAAGGAAAAATTAATAAATGGCTTTATCATAGTTTAAACAAGCTTAACATCGAAACCTTTTTTTTTTTAATAACAAACGGAATTGAATTGTTTACAAAGTATGTAGAGCGCATGTGTATCCCGGATCTGTTTACCATAACGCACTATTTCTTCATCCTTTGGTACAACAAACCTTTCGAAAATCTTCACTAATGGATATAAAGCACACGATTGTATCCACACACACACACACACACACACACACACACACACACACACACACACACACACACACACACACACACACATACACACATACACACACACAAACACAAACACGCGTACGTACACAAACACCATGATACGCATATTTTCGCATTTCCTATAGCGGTATGAGACCCTGGTGAACTTTCCAAGGTCGATATAGGCAAAGATTTACCAAGAGATTATTGTTAGACTATCTAAGTGCAGTCAAAGATGGGATCTTTTTGTCGTTCATAATATACACAGATATACATGCATTCATACATACATATACCCATACGTGATACATGGATATATAATACGTGAATATGGGTGTTTGTGTGTATGTGTGTTTGTGTGCACGCGCGCGCGCGCGTGTGTGTGTGTGTGTGTGTGTGTGTGTGTGTGTGTGTGTGTCTATGTACGTGCATATGTGTGTGTGTGTGTGTGTGTGTGTGTGTGTGTGTGTGTGTGCATATGTGTGTGTGTGTGTGTGTGTGTGTGTGTGTGTGTGTGTGTGTGTGTGTGTGTGTGTGTGTGTGTGTGTGCGTTTGTGTTTGTGTGATAAGTTAAATCAACCCAATAACATCACAATTCGCTGTGTTACCTAACACCGACTACGCCAACTTCGAATGAGATGAATCATACAATACAGGTATACGTATCAAACTAAACCAACCAATCACAGATCGAATAAGATGACGACATCCAACGCCTCCACCTGATTGGCTAACAGCTAACCCTTAAGAAAAAAAACTCGTAGAGAATCTTATTCTTCTTTTTTCTCTTTTTTCTCCTTTTTTTTCTTTTTTGTTGCGCTCTCATCTCATCCCCTCATCTGTATCGTCCAGCATCCTCCCTTTGGACGCTGCAAGATGGGCGAGGACCTGAATTCCTCACTCGGAGAATCACCGGTGTTTGGATAGCAATGGTTGTGAGAATATAATAGGTTTATCTAATGGTTATAATAGTCGGTTAAGATATAGTTGTGAGGATATAATAGGTTTATATAATGGTTATAATGGCCACTTATAGATATGGTTGTGATAATATAATGATTTATCTAATGGCTATAATGGTCACTTATAGATATAGTTGTGAGGATATAATGGTTTATCTAATGGTTATAATAATCGGTTAAGATATAGTTGTGATGATATAATGGTTTATATAATGGTTATAATGGTCACTTATAGTTATGGTTGTGAGGAGAGATAAGTGGAAGTTGTTTGAGAGACCCGTTCATGAAGGATGCTCGTGGGTGACGCGTCTCGGTCGAAATGAATTAATGATGTGATGATGATGATCAGAATAATGATAATGGTGATGATGATACTAATAATAATGGTGATGAGGATAATGATGATCATAATGATAATGGTAATGACAATGTTAATGATAGTAAAAATAAAGATGATGTTGATAGTAAAAAAAAGATGATGTTGATAGTAAAAAAAAAAGATGATGTTAATAGTAAAAAAATAATAATGATGATAATGATAATAATAATAATGATGATGATGATGATAGTGATGATGATGATAATTTCAATAATAATAATGATGATGATGATAGTGATGATGATGATAATTACAATAATAATAATGATGATAATGACGGTAATTACAATAACAATAATAATGAGAATGATAACAATAACTAATAACAATAATGAGAGCGATAATGATAATGAAAATAATAATTAAGACAATAATAATCACTCTAGGATTCGCATTCTAGAATGCAACAACTCCCCTGCCGGACAAGTGAGTTGTTGCACACCCCTTAGCGGATTGCAACTGCCATGCCCACCGTCGTGCTCCAACTTTTATGAAATCCGTGCAGGTTCTCACCCGCATGTACACACACACACACACACACACACACACACACACACACACACACACACACACACACACACACACACACACACACACACACACACACACACACACACACACACACACACAAAACAAACACCTGTGCACATGTGTGTGTGTATTCATGTGAGAAAATGCATGTTTTTTAATAATAGTAATATTACTACTACTACTACTACTGCTAATAACAATAATAATGATAATAATGATAATAATGAAAATAATAATGATTATAATAATAGTGATAATAATGACAATAATAATGATTATAATAATAATGATAACAATAACAGTAAAAAGATAATAATAATAATAATGACAATGCTTATGATATTGATAATAGTGATGATGAAAATGATAATAATGATACTACTACTACTACTATAACATTGTAACAATAATAATAACAATATTAACGGTAATGATAATGATAATGATAATAATACATATGATAATGATAATGATAGTAAAAAAATAATAATGATAATGATAATAATGGTAATATTGATAATATTGATGATAATGATGATGATGAGGTTAACAATAGTGATAAGAAAATAAAATAAAAAGTATTATTATTTTTTATAGATAATGAAGATGATAGCAATAATGATTACGATGATAAGGATGATGATGAAAATAATGATAATGATAATAATGACAACAACAACAACAATAATAATAATGATGATAATAATAATGATGATAATAATGATAAAAATAATAAAAATGATAATAAAAACAACAACCACAATACTAACAATGATGGTAATGAAAATACTGCAAGGAGTGAGAATCCTAGAGTGAGAATCTTGGAGTGGGAAATCTAGAGTGAGAACCTGGAGTGAGAATCTTGAAGTGGGAATGCTAGAATGAGAATCCTAGTGTACGAATCCTAGACTGATAATCCTAGAGTCAAAATCCTAGACTGATAATCCCAGAGTGAACATCCTGCAGTGAGAATCCTAGACTGATAATCCTTGAGTGAAAATCACAAAGTGAAAATCCCAGAGTGAAAATCCTGCAGTGGGAATCCAAAAGTGAGAATCCTAGACTGATAATCCTAGACTGATAATGCTAGAGTGAAAATCCTAGAGTGAAAATCCTCGAGTGAAAATCCTCGAGTGAAAATCCTAAAGTGAAAATCCTAGACTGATAATCCTAGACTGATAATCCTAGAGTGAAAATCCTAGACTAATAATCCTAGAGTGAAAATCCTAGAGTGAAAATCCTTCAGTGAGAATCCTAAATAAGGCAAGACCGTGTAAGTGACCTGCACGCCCTCAAACGCATCCTACACCAAGGAGCCGGGTCTTGCGGGTGACTTTCTCGGGCGTGTTGGCGTGTGGGGGCGTGGAGAGAGGAGGGGGGGGGGCGTGTGGGGGCGTGGAGAGAGGAGGGGGGGGGCGTGTGGGGAGAAAGGGGGCTAATGGTGGAGTTGTATTGTGTAGTATTGGTGTATGATGTTGTTTTTGTATAGATGAATGATAATGTATGATTTAATACGTGATGGTGCATGGATAATGATGTATGGTGAATGGTGATTAATAATGTATGATGGATGATAATTAATGATACATGAATAATGTATGGTGTAAAAAGGGACCAGTG